AATAAAAATCAGCTTCATAGACCAACTGCCAACCTCTCATGTTTTCAGAAGAGTGCATATTATGCAGGGATCAAAATTTTCAACAGTCTACCATCTAATCTCTCAAGTCTTGTAAATAAAAAGGCACAATTTAAAACAGCATTGAAAAGATACTTAATTACACACTCCTTTTACTCTGTCGATGAATTTCTAATGTTTACAAGTAAGTCAAAATTTATCTATTGTATATAATGGGTGGATTTATTTGTAACTTATCTCTATTTCATGTGAACCCTTTGTTTGTATTTTTGTGACATTTATATGACTTGTATTTGTATAACATGTATTGTATTATTATGACTTATTCTACATCCTATTGTCATCTGACTAACTTATGGATCCATGGAATGTAATAAAGATGTATGTATGTAAATGAACCTTTGATAACAGGTATGACATTTACTTATATACACAGTATTCAATTTCAGTCTAAAGCAACACGAAAATGGCTGTCATCTGGGTTGTAGTGCCGTGTGGTCTCGTAGAAGTTTACCAATGTTTCAAATGTGCTTCCTGCCTCCATCACTTGGGCAATGAGTAGATATGATGATGGAACTGTAGGAGGCATGGGACCATGTCTTAGTATCTCCAATGCAATAGGAAGTACAGGGAACAAAGTCTTTCAGCTTTCCAAGGGTTCTGAATCTCAAAATGTAATTACCAATAGCTTTCCCATAAGGTTTACCAAGTGAGATTATAGTTGTCATGGCAGCAAGTATGAAGATGGCTGTCTTCTGGGTTCTTGCACTAAGTAGTCTAGCAGAAGTTAACCAACTTAATTACAGAGGTACCTGCTCCCTCTGTCATCAAGGCAATCTTCATACTCACCCTTGTAAGAACCTCGAATCTCACTAAATAAACACACATTTCTAAAATCTGTCAATTTTGTTTCCACATAACTCAATCACTTCCCTCAATGTCAAAATTACAATACTGACCCTAAACAGAAGAATCACAATAATAAACCCAACATCTTTAACATCCTTGTAGAAGCATGACAATATGTTTGCAGTAAACATTATGTTACTCTTGCAGTAGAATACGTATTATACCTGCAGAACACCAGAATGAGATTTACAACATATACTCAATCTGTGATGGTGCACCTGTCTGCCTTGCACTCTTGATTAATACTTTCTGTTTGTTAACAAAACATTACTGGACTGCATATTCTTTACACACAAACATCTTCTCTCTTCAATATCACAAGCTACATATTTTGGTATATGCTTTCCATTGCTCTTAATACAATTTGAGATGGAAATTTTGAAACATATAGTTCAATTATATAAATACTATAAAACTGCAGAGTTCAAATCTGTGTTTGTGTGGATATAACATGCATAAAAACAGTTGACACTGGGAGTCTTATATCCATGGGTGATCTTAAAATTAATGCCAGTCTTCCACCCTACCAGCTATGCTACCAGAGATTACAGATGTCAGAGCAAAGCGCTGTCCTCTCCTGTTTTTTGCCGCTGAACCTAGTCACATATTTTGGAAAAGTCATTTACATTAATTAATGTTTGTCTTCAAATTAGGCACACATCTGCATAGTTTCTGGCATACATAAATGTAATAATGCAAGGCAGAGAAAAATTCACGTATGAGAAAATTATGAATATTGGATTTATTATGCCAGATGTACCATGTTCTGTTACAGATTTAGAAAATTGTAAGTACTTGATTTTTGTAGCACAGTCTACCAACTACATCAATAAAGTCCTGCCACATGTGCCAATGCTGCCAATTAAATATGCCAATCTTCTATATTTTTAATAGGAATATGGTTTCACTGGAGGACACTTTTCCTTTGTATAAACCTACTTCATTTGTTCTTTATTATTTCTTTGTATTTATTACATATTTTAAGAGCTTTAACAATTACAGACTACAGCCTTTCAACAAATCAAAATTAATTTTCTTATTATTATTGTTCTTACTGCTGATATCTATTGATATATACTAAAGTAGAGGTATCATACCCGAAAGAGATTTGATCCCTCCAATGGACTAAATGTTCTTCTCTCATCACACTGGCCTTTAAGATCTTCAATGTTGGCACCAAGAAGTTCATTTTTCAGCAGACAAGAGTAAGCCAATCCGTCACGGCCTCCTTCACCATTTTCACGAGCCTTTTTTGTAGTTAATCCATTACGGCCAGACTCCTATATTTACAAACAGATACAAATTTAATTGACATTCCTACAACTAGCTTGCATTAAGAGAAATTCATAAAGCTTATAGAAAATGG